GTCGTGTATCTTCTGAACTATATTCAGCTGTGATCTCAGAAGAACAGTTGATTAAACAGAATGTTTCCAGAGAATTTTCAGCTACATACCAGACTCTTTTCTTACTGTCATTTGCAGCTGATTTACTACATGAAAGTGTAAGATTTCCTTTTTCTTGACAATAAAAGTAAGTTTCACCTGTTAAAAATATTTAGGTGGTTATTATGTAAAAGGATCCAGAAATTTGGACTCAGCTCATAAATAATCTGCAGCCTGTCCTGGTTGATTTTTAGTTCTTAATTTTGCGGGGGGTGGGTCTGGTTGCTTGCTTGCTTGCTTGCTTTTTTAGTTTTGTTCCTTTAGGTTTAGGGGTGTGTTTTGTTCTGTTTTGTTTTGTTTTGTTTTGGTCAAACCATATTTGAACTTTACCAATCCTACAGCCATAATTGAGAACCCAGTTCTAGAGGGATGAGTGCCTACTGGATGCTACTTTATGCCTCCTAGTATGTACTGGGCAAGTCTACATGAGCTGTTTACTGTGGAGCTGCCTAACTAGCTCCACAGTAAAGTCTCCACATCTACATGTGCAGTCCTATTAGGTCTCAGTAAACTAATAAACATGGCTGTAGGTTAGTACTTGTAAATACAAGTACTATCTTACGGCAGCATTATTTACTGTGTAGCAACATACATGTAGATGCTGATGGGGCTGGCTGGGGCACAAGGGTGCTTCAGTATAGAGGCTGCCTGCCAGCTAGCCCTGCACTAAAGCACCCTCATGCCCCAGCCACCCCTCTGCAGCATGTTGAGCCAGGTCAGAGCAGCTCCAGGCTGGTAGGCTGATCCCCTGGGCCCCCTGCCAGCCAGGGATGCTCCAACCCAGCTCAACCTGCTGCAGTGCCAGGTGCACAAATAATGTGGCACCCAGAAGCAATAAACTCTGTTATGATATGCACCAGAGTTTATTGTGTCGCATTAATTTCACATTTAGATGTGCCCACTGAACATCTTGTCATTTGGTATCAGTGGGAGCTGGGAGTACTGAGCACTTTGTAGAGTGTAGCAGGAGGGATGGTGCTCCTTCCACTTTGAGAAGCAGGCAGGCTAGTGCTGAGGTAGCCTGCAGATGCAGCCAGGGTTGATTATGGAGTCATCAGACCCTGGAGGGAGGCTGGGTTTAGGTAGGATATAAGCCCAGGCCCTGAGATGAGCCAGCAGTAACAGCCTGAGAGCACACCACCTCAGCAGAATGGCTCCAGCTCAAAAAGATCAACATGGAGGGTAATGCTTAAAGCAGTCTGAAGATCTAGGGAGGAACCAAGGGAGGGGCCCAGAGCCCAGATTGAGGGGCTGAGGGTATGGGGTCAGCAAGGGTCCAGGAGCCCATAGGAGGGATTAAGTGGAAGAGAACATCAATGAGGATGCCATCTGTGAGGTATGGGGCATGGTACAGGGGTGGAATGGAGCCATGCAATTAGCCCATAAGGCAGTGACTGTGGCACCTGATGGTCATTTGAGATAGCAATTTAGGAAGCCCAGGGGCAGCTTCCCTCATATAAAAGTAGAAGACATCAAGGTGTGGCAAGTGACTGAAAGGGTGATTGCCCACAAAGTGAGGGCTGAAGGGACCCGGGGTCTTCATGGTCACCCCTGAAATGCACTGTAAGATATATCCCAAAGAACACAAATCTGGGGGTCAGACTTGAACTTGTGGAAGAAGTAGTACTTTGAATTAACCACCAAAATTGAGGATCAAATTACAGGCTCTGGTTAGTTGCGCTGGCTTTGTTCTAAAAGGCTTCTTATGGACATTTCTGACCATGGTAATGACTGCAAAATTAGTTCAGAAGATGTTAAAGGGGAGCAATTAGCTCTCTGTACTACTATATGGGTGCATCTACGTGTTCAATTAATTTGAAGCAATAAACTTCAGAACAGTTTGACCCAGACGAAACTACTCCTTCGCACAGCATCTACACATGCACCTGGGACAGCAGCAATTTGAGCCAGGGCAGAGCAAGGGACATTACTGTCCTGGTCTCCAGGTGGCAGCGTTGGGTGGCAGAGGGGCTAGCTGGGGCACTAGGGTGCTGAATGTGCACAGCCATATGGCTAGGCAGGAGTCTGGTCCCCTGCTGGCTGAGCTGACTGGGCACAATTTATATCCATGGTCAGCATCTACATATGTGTTTAATCGTAGTTAATTACCCTGCTGAAAGATACTACTTATAGCAGGGTAAGATAGCATAAGAAAATAGGCCTGTGTGAAGCAGCTAGTGTTCGCTTCAGATTCAGATTTGGCCAGTTCAGGGGACAGTGAATCAATTTAGCCGAAGCTGATTTGGAGATTTAGCTACCGCCAAATCAGCCGAATCTCCAAATCAAACAGGCCCCACCCCCCACTTTCCCAGCCCCATCAGTGGCTGCTCTGCCCAGGTCCAGCATCCCAGCTCTTTTTTTAAAAAAAAGCCCTGCACTCACCAGCTGCTGCCAGGTGGGGGGGCAATCCCTGCTACCCCCAACTGCCCCATGCTGCATGGGGGCGCTCTGCCATGAGTCCTCATCCCCCACCCACTCTCCTAGCACCCACCATGGCTGCCCCGCCCAGCCCCAACATCAGCTCTTTAAAAATATATATATAATAA